TCTTTATTTCTCAATTATCTCTTTTTGTTGCTGGATAAATATGAGGTAACACTAAAAGTATTCAAAGAATCCCACTAAAAAAGAACCTTAAATATGTGGTCATTGAGGAAAGGTGCTCAGATTTCAGTCGGGCCCTTGAGAATAGAGAAGCTGATTTTGATCTTGCAGGTCTGGCAGGTCAGTGGCCACTGAAGAACCTATGGTAATGGCCCCTGTTCTTTCTTTAAAAATCTTGCTCAGGTCAATAAAGATCGTCACTGAGGTTCAAAGGAGTCAGTAGCTGGGGAGCATACAATCTAAGGAATTCTATAGCGGATATTCCAAACCTCATCAAGAGCATGTTGCTTCATCTAAAAATGATTTCTACCAAAGCCTTTCACTTGAACTTCAGACTATCAACTTTACCCTTGGTTTAAAAGTCAGCTCCCATAGACACAGTCAACAGTATGGTGATTACCAGTGGGAAAGGGGGTGGGGGAGGTAGAAGAGGCTAAAGAGGGGATAAGTGGTGATGAAAGGAGACTTGACTTGGGGTGGTGAGCACATAATACAGTGTACAGATTATATGATTATGGAATTCTACACCTGAAACCTATATAATTTTCTTAAGCAATTTTGTCACCACAGTAAATTCAATAAAAATGTAAAAAGTCACCTTCCTGTTTTCTAGTAAGTATTGCAAAATGCTGTATTCCCTTTACATAGATGAGTAAAGAGAAGAAACCTCATCTACCCCCATGGATGCTAATGGACTTGAGAAGTGGCAAAATGCATTACTGAGGAAAATGCTGTTTTCTGTTGGTGGTTGGTGGCAGGGAGGTGGTCAGGGAATGGAGGGAGAGAAGAGGAAAGGCTCTCTGGACCTTATTTCGTTGCCTCTTTCTCCACCCTTCCATCCTAACAGCACTCACACTAGAAGCTCTATGAGGTTTTGTTTGTTTTCAAGAGATGTTTGAAAGAAGATCAAATGCTTGTGAAAGGCACTGGATCGGCAGCCCTAGAAACTGAAATGTCCCGGAAGCGGTGTGAGCCCGGAAATATCCCACATTTCTATTTATTTTGGCAATTTGATTTAAAACTAGTAAGAGCTGGAGTTCATGCTACAATTAAATTTTCCTCAGGCACCATGAAATGAAAACACATATTACATTTGATTTTAACTGGTTGAGAAAAATGGTGGTTTTCTGAAAGTTCATTCTATGACCTAAAATAAAAGTTAAAGGATCCTCACATGGGATGGGTGAGCTTCCTTTTAAGTGGTAATTATTTGTAGAACTGGGTTCTCTGGTTGGAAGGGGTCTGAGGTCACAGAGTTCTCTTTTCTTGTCGTATGCTTGAAACCTACTATCACGATGCTGAAAAGTATTGGCAGCTTGGGCTTAAAGTTTTGGGTGATATGAGACCTATTTCTACCTGAGGAGACCTATGTCTTTTTTTAATGCCTCTAATTTTTATAACTAAGTAAAATAATATTAACAGAAACTTTAATAGTGCTTACTATGTACCAGGCATCAATTTATTCACCATAATGTATATGTATGTACACATAATATATATGCGTACACATGCACAAAGAATCTCAAATCCTCACAACTGTATGAGGTAGAGTGAATTAGATAGATTCACTTAGGTAGATTCTCATTGACAGATGAGGAAATTGAGGCACAGGTAAGTCACATCATTTGCCCAAGTTCATACCACTAGGAAGCAAGTCAGGATTTGAACCTAGGCAGTGTGGTCGTAGAGTCTGTACTCTTAATCCGCTAGTGCTTTACTGCCTCTCCGATCCTTATAATTCTCCTTCACACCTAGTACAGGAGTTTGCACACTGTAGGTGCTCAATAAAAAATATTTTTCAACTATTTTATTTCAGGATCCTGATTCTTTACATATTCCCATAAGTTTCACACACAATCTTCAATTTTCCCTAAGAGAAACAGTTGAAATAGTAGAAGTTTAGGTAATGACTACTACTCTGCCCACTTCAAAAAAGTATTGAGTGGACTAATAGGTACATAATATTCACTATAAAGTACTCAGACAGTTGCTACCTTTAGCAGTAGGTCTTGAATAATTTCAATTTCGGCTAGAGATGGAAAGTCTGAACATGCAACACCTACATAAGCACAACTCCTTTGCTGTCTCTTGTACTCTGTACCTGCCTCACTATCTTATGCAACGACAACAAGCAGAATCATGCCATCTCAGCAGTGTTATGTATTTTTATATGTTTTTCTACCACTATTCACCTGCCTATATCACCCATTTGTCCATCCACCTATCCATCCATCCATCCATCCAGCATTATATGCCATGTATTGCTAGGTGACTAGTATTGATACTAGAGAGGGGGGATGGAAAGACAATAATAGGTTCTTCCTGTTTACTAAGTTCATATTATTCAGAAATCACATGTAGCCATTCAAGATAATTGCTTTAGAGTTGATAAAAACACATCCCAAAAAGAAAGTGTTTTAATCCATAATCTGGGAGTTAAACATTCTTTAACGATAGAAAATTTTACTGCTTTTTTCCTTTTGATGTCTTTGTCTTATTTTTTCTTGAATGAAGTTCATCATTGGATGTTAGTATAGTTTATCCAAACCATGATTTATAATTGACACGTATTCAGTCATGCATGAAAGAAGGAAGAGATAATTCTCTACAGAACCTTTTTGTAGGACATGAACTGTTCATTCTTCTGCTCAGTTGTGGTCCCTTGAACAGCCATCTGTGTTTGCTGGCTACTCTCAGGTAGTAGTCACAGTAGGTATTGGCCTGCCTGTGCCTGAGGCTGGTCCTAGAGCATGATGTGTTAGCAGAGAACTCAGCATCTCTTGAGTAAGGTGGCTGGACAGATGGCTTTCTTCTGCTCTGATAAGCCAGGATCCACTTTGCAACCACAATAGCTGTGGCTTGGCTCCCATCTGAGACTTCAACATGCTTCTGATTGGATCTTTCCTTCTAGATTGAGGCTTGAGCATATCCATGTATTATATATCTTGGGTTTTCAGGGAAGCATTGAGAGGGGATGACCCTAAAGTAGAAAGCATGGCAGGGGCATGAAGGGCCAGGCAGAAAGGAGGTTCCTTTACACCATGACATCTTTGATGTAGGCTACTTGGATGACATGCTTTGCTTCCTGGTTTAGTCATTTTCTTTCCGCAAGGGTTATCATTTGCTTGGCTGAGCACTTACCCTCTCTCAGCTCTTAAAATGAGTAATTTGGGTGATCTTGAGGCTTTCTTTGCTTCATTATCCATGAAGACCCTCAACCTACCATTTAAATCAAGAGAGGTGTAGGTCTCTAAGACCTACATTCTGTGATTTGACTTAGCTTTTTTTTTACCCTCAGGGGAATCCAGCACCCTGCTCTCATTTACTCCCTTCCTTCTGGTGGAAAAATATTAAATTAGTGGGAGACTTCATGTGGCTACTTCTGCCCCATTTTTTTCTTTTGGAATTCATAATAGTCCATGTTGATTACGTGCTTTTTTTTTTGCTGGATAGAAGGAGGGCAGCTTAGAACTGAAGCACACTTTTACCCATTTCTGGATCTCAGTAGCCTTACCTTTACAATGAAGCAGTTTGAACCAAATGATTTCTGAGGCTTTTTGCAGCTCTAATATAACATGGTCTTAGTATTTGCATGGAGTAGAAACTCCCAGGATTTCAGATCTAAAAATGTAGGTGTGTGTGTGTGTGTGTGTGTGTGTGTGTGTGTGAGAGAGAGAGAGAGAGAGAGAGGGAGGGAGGGAGAGAGAGTGTGTATTTTCTAAGAGACAGAATCAGAAGGCAGTTAAGTTATACATCAGAAGTCTTCTCTTAGGGCTGGATTGTGCTACCCACCCCCAAATTCACATATTGGAGCCGTATACTCCAGGGCCTCAAAATGTGACTGTATTTGGAGATCGGGGTTGTCATACAGGTAATTAAATGAAAATGAGATCATTATGATGGGCCCTAATCTAATATGGCCAGTGTCCTTATAAGACTAGGAAATTTGGGCACAAAGATATGCCTTGAGGGAAAACGATGTGAAGACACAGGAAGGAGAAGGCCAATTACAAGCCATGGAGAAAAGCCTGGAGCAGACCTTTCCCTAGTATTTCTCGGAAGGAACCAACCCTGCCAACAGTTTGATATTGGACTTCCAGTCTCCAGAAGCATGTGAAAATAAATTTCTGTTGTTTAAGCCACCTACCCTGTGGTTATAGCAGCCCTAACAAACTAAAATATCTTTTATATCTGATTCTCAAGGGTAAAAGAAAAAGGTTCACTGACCTCCTCTCATAGGTTACCTCATAGGCCTCACAGGCCTGTAGGTAAATACTGGGTGCCCTTTGGCTGAAACTTGGACTTGACTAAGAAATGCACCATTCAAAGACAGCGCAAGAAAGGCTATCTGGGAACTTCTGTGGCACATTTCAGTCTTGAGAGAATTTGGGGCTAATCCCAATGTTTAACTATGGACATATATTGACATGAGCAATTCTTCTACAGTACATTTACACAGAAATTTAAAATGCATTTAAAAGCCTTGATTTTATTAGTCTTAATTCTTTTATTGAATTTTTTTTGGGGGGAGAGGAAACTGTGGCTTATTTGCCTCTTTTATAATTTTTGTTCTTTTTTCATTCTTGCCACTGTCTTTCTTTGGACTTTCTTGGGCATGACTTGCTTCTTTGCCACTTTCTCCATGTTTAATAGCCACATCCTACAACAGGTTCCTTCTTTTCCTTCGGTCTCGGGTGTTATCTAGCTCCACTAGGCTACTGTTCTTCATTTCCTCTAGAGCACTTCCCACTTCTCTTTATCGCTGTCTGCTTCTCTCTCATCGTCCTTGCCTCTCTCTGCTTTTCTCCTCCATTTTTCTCTTTGCTTCTGTGTTCAGATTCTAGCTCCAGTCTCCCTCCTCTGCTCTTTCTTCTTTCCTTTCATCTGCTGACTTGCTTCCGTCCCCTCCATCTGTTCCCCTCCTGGGTGTTTCTTTGGCCCACCTTTCCTTCTCCTCTGAGACTTCATTTTCTTGTTGGTAGGTGGGGGCTGATACTGTAAACATCACAAAAATAATTGCATTGAGAACAGGTGGTTCCCTTGGTGTCCCAGAAGACAGAGCCTTTGCGTCAGCCCAGTATGCCCGGGCTCCACTGGATGCGGGAGACAGCACTGGTGTTGGACAGGTGCCTAGACCTCAGTCACAGGACCCAACATTCTAGAACTTTGGGACACAACCTCGACCCCCACCCTCTCCCCAGCTAGAAATTGAAAAACATTGGGTCACCTGGGAAGAAAAAGAATTAACCTGCCTTCCCCATCCCCAGCACAACTTTCCAGTGTCATTTACCTAAAAGTCACTTCTATGGTGCTTGCTCCCTGACCATTGGCTACTGTGTTCTCTGTGCACCGGTTGTGTCCAGTCCCTTTCCATCCCTCAAGGTGGCTCCCTGGAGTCACATCTCTGCTCAATGCCCCCTGGTCCTCCACCAGCCTTGTCTGCCTCCACAGGTTAGGACCAGGAAGCAGCCAAGGTGTCATTCATTGTAAATGTCTTGATCTCTCATCTGGGGCTTTCTGCACAACGCTACTTTTGGCTCCAAAGATTAAAACCACAGGTGGTGGATTTTGTTTGGTTTGGTTTTTCATTTTGTCAACAGAGTCCCCAGGAGACACTCTCCTTATTCAACCTTCCTCACTTCTCTTTTCTTCCTTCATTTTCTCTTTAGTTCTCACTTTTTCTACCTCATGACTAAACTTTTAATCTCTTATATTCATTTGTTCACTCATTCATTCACGCATTCAACAAAATATTTACCAGGTGACGAACATGAATCTCACGATTTTCATACTTTTGATGGCAGAGACAGTACCTCTAAGATTTGTTTAAAGTCTAGCTCTTCAAAAGACACTGGCAAATTTTGGTCATTAGAAATTTCCAGATATTCTTTGAGCCAGACAGGAATTTCTGTTTTTAATGTTGTTTCTTTAATTGTTTGCCACTGAGTGTGAATTACAAATAGGTCTCATTTTAGAGTATTGTTTTTTCACCTTTGCAGAATACCAGGGCTTGCAATTATCCAGGCTTTATTCTTAATTACAATTATGACAGACGTTCACACTCACCCAACAGTTGTATTGTGCAGACACATGGAGAGCATCATATGTACATTAAGTTAATTCTGACAGCAACCTGATGAGGTAGCTGTTACCATTATCCCAATTTTGTGGATGCAAGTAAGGCTTACATAGGTTACCCTATTCCACTAAGGGCTCTCAGCTGATGATGGCAAAGCTAGGACTTCAGTTTTCTCTGACCCTAAAGCCCATGTTTAGTCACTTTTCTCTGCCACCTCCTGGTTATCAGATCATCCAGAGCAGTAGAAGAGAGAATTTGCAATGTGGAGTGACCAAAGGAATGGACATCTAGGGTAGGTGAGAATGGAGCTATTTTGACCTGTAAGCCAGGAGACTGAAGGGATATAATTACTGTTTGGTGCCCTGCCCCCACACGTATAAGATACAGATCTCTTGAGGAGGGCCAGAACCCACCCCAGCTGGTTTACCTTCTGAGCCTTGGGCATGTCGGTGTGGCGCTGGGCACGGACGGAGCGGGCCGCCTTGGTAGGCTTGATTGGTGCGCAGTACATCTCCAGCCTCCTCAGATCACAGCTCCGGAAGCAGCACTCATCCACAATGCCTGTCTGAGGCGCCCTGCGACTGTTGGAGCCGTATCCCGTGGGCTTGTCTGTGCAAATCAAATGCAGAGTGGTCTGGTGTTAGAGTGCGATATTCTGTCTTCAAGGTTCCACCCACCCTCTGAAGCCCCCACTCTCCCCACACCTGGTCCACCCACACTTTTTCTTTTCTTTTCTTTTTTTTTTTTGAGATTTTATTTATTTATTTTTAGAGAGGGAAGGGAGGGAGAAAGAGAGAGAGAGAGAAACATCAATGTGTGGTTGCTGGGGGTCATGGCCTGCAACCCAGGCATGTACCCTGACTGGGAATTGAACCTGCAACACTTTGGTTCACAGCCCGCACTCCATCCACTGAGCTATGCCAGCCAGGGCACTTTTTTCTTTTTTAAAAAATTATTTTATTGTTGTTCAATTACAGTTGTCTGCATTCCCCCGCCTCCCCCCGCTACCCCAGCCAAACCCACCTGCCTCCCTCACTTCCACCCTCTCCCTTGGTTTTCTCCATGCGTCCTTTATAGTAATTCCTGAAAACCCTTCCCCTATTGTCCCCTCCCCCCTCTCCTCTGGCTATTGTTAGATTGTTCTTAATTTTAATGTCTCTGGTTATATTTTGCCTGCTTATGTGTTTTGTTGATTAGGTTCCACTTAACGGTGAGATCATATGGTATTTGTCCCTCACCACCTGGATTATTTCACTTAGCATAATGCTCTCCAGTTCCATCCATGCTGTTGCGAAGGGTAGGAGTTCCTTCTTTCTTCCTGCTGTGTAATATTCCATCATGGAAATGTACCATAGTTTTTTGATCCACTCATTTACTGATGGGCACTTAGGTTGCGTCCAGCACTTGGCTATTGTAAATTGTGCTGCTATGAACATTGGGGTGCATAGGTTCTTTTGGATTGGTGTTTCAGGGCTCCTCGGATATAGTCCCAGCAGTGGAATTGCTGGGTCAAAAGGCAGTTCCATTTTTAGTTTTCTGAGGAAATTCCATACTGTTTTCCACAGTGGCTGCACCAGTCTGCATTCCCACCAACAGTGCACTAGGGTGCACTTTTCTCCACATCCTCTGCAACACTTGTTTCTTGATTTGTTTATGATGGCCATTCTGACTTGTATGAAATGGTATCTTATTGTGGTTTTAATTTGCACCTCTCTGATGGCTTGTGATAGTGAGCATCCTTTCATATGTCTCTGGACCCGCTGTATGTCCTCCTTGGAGAAGTGTCTGTTCAAGTCTTTTGCCCATTTTTTAATTGTGTTTTTTGTCTTCTTGGAGTGGAGTCGTGTGAGTTCTTTATATATTTTGGAGATCAAACCCTTGTCTGAGGTATCATTGGCAAATATGTCAACTTCTTTTTGAAACTTCTCCAACAATTCCTGTGTCCATAGGTCCTTCTGGATTCCAGTATGTCTCCTGCAGTCTGCATTGTACTCCTTAGCACTAACTCATTCACAATGCACTTTGTGTTAATTCTCCTGAAGTTCTCAGCAACTTCAAGAATCTTGTATTTGTCCAATCCTAGCTTTTCCTTAAATACTGGCTTAGCTGAGAGGCTTCTAGGGATATTAACTAAAAGAAGATCACATATTCAGTTTCCTTAATCTTTTTATCAAATCTGCATAGTTTTCATATGCAGGATGGCTCAAATATTTGCTCTGTTGCTTAATTGCTTCCACTGTAAAATCAGAATAAGCATCAATGAAGTTTCAAATCTAGAAAGGACTCCCACTGTCCTGATGTGAAGACTGGGATTTAGAGTTGGAAGGGACTTGCTCAAAGTCATTATTCAGGAAATGGTAGAGTCAAGATTTAAACTCAGATCTTCTCTCTGCAAAGTCAAAGTGCCTCATAGAGCCCAGCAGGCCTGTTGTACAACTCTGGACATGTCATTTAAGCTTCCTGGGCCTCAGTTTATTCATTTGTAAAGTGGGGTTAATGATAGCTGCCTTGTAAGGATTGTTTGAGGATTATGTGAGATAATGTGTGAAACGTAGTTAGAATATCACCAGACATATGGTAGGTCTTAAATAAATATTGGTGTGCTTCCTTCAAGCACCCCTTTCCAGGCTCTTACATGGCTTGTGAAGAAACAGTGTGACTGTTGATTGCATCCAGATACCTTAGAACTTGGAACTGATGACAGTACCAGTGTGATAGGTACCTTCGCCTATTACCCCACAGAGACCAGAACAATCAAGTCTGGTGGGGGTTTTTTTTTCCGATTTTGTTTTCTTATAGAATAATTATTACACTGAGATTGAGCTAAATGTCCACCTTTCATGCGATTTGGATTGCCAGTAGGGAACACCATGAGTCAAATTTCTCTTGATATTTGCAAATCAATTAGACCTCTTTACTTGGCAAGTAGGTTTTGGTTTGGTTTCATTTTTTTTTGTTTTGATTTGAACACACTTTTCCTGGCTCTAGAATTAAAAGAAAGGGCAAAACAAAATTACCCGGACCTTAAAATGTACCTGAGTTCTTTGTAAGCTTTTTGTCATAGTAGAACTTCTGTTAAACCAAACATTGTTTACACACCAAATATATGAAACAGACAACAGTCAAACTGCCCTGGCTCAGGCAAGGGCAGGGGGACCTGGCCTCAGCTTTCTTTCATGTCCCTTAACTCTCTTGGGAGGTGGGGGTCCTCATTTTTCTCTGCTGATGTTCAGGCTTTATGGAAGAATCCAATGATCCAGAAGAATCCAGTTAATCAATCTCACTTACATTCACTCTTAATTCCTGGCACGGAAGATAGCATTATATTTTAAATTAAAAATCTTACATTTCCATAATAATGACATTATTATTTAGAATGGAGTTTGGAAAGTCAAAGTTCCCAAAGTATATTTTGGGCTCCCTGGATGGGGGAGATCTGGCCCAGGTTCATGGTGGACCACCAAACTGGTTTAGCAGCCTTGCTGCTGGAAGGGCCAATCATTCCTGGCATCCTCTAAGAACTCAAATGTTTTCCTGATGCTTGACACAGGAGCCTGGGGATGCTTATTCTTTGTAAGACAAGTTCATAGTCACTTAAGACAGCAGAGGGTAGTAACTCTGTGAGGGTTCAGTCTGTGGTCTCTCTGAGTGGGGTCCATTGCTTTCACTGGGGCAAATCCTGAGGGTTCCTTGTGATTGAGGGCTTTGGGGGACCAGACAGCTGGCCCCAGTGGGAGCCTCTGTGGGGCTTTCACTTGTCATTGGAAGGTCAGCTAGTGCAGAAGACTCAGTCAGGCTAGTGCAGAAGATTCAGTCAGTGCGTTTTTAGTCCATAGATCAATGAATTTAGGGACAAAAATAATTAGGATTTTAATGTTTTATAAGGAAAGTTTACCTCATGTCCATATATTCTTTTTTAATGTTGTTATAATAGTGGTATAAAGACTTCGATTTTGCCATAAATGTAACTATCAGTTTTCTTACCCCAAACCTAAAAGATGCTTTTCTTTATCTATTTATAATGTCTACAATGGACTAATTGTACTTCACTGGGGATATATGAATATAACAGTGTTTACATGTTGCCTCTTAAAGTTTAATTAGTCCTTTGAAGTACCCTATAGGCTCAGTTTCTGGTTCTATATCAAGATATTTAACAACAACAAAAAAATTTCTCACCAGTTGAGAGGCCACATTTGAGGGTCAAAGTTTGGCCCTTTATCTTCAAATGCCTCACATTACATCTTTTTTTCAGAACCAAAATAAAGACACTTGTTGCTATGGACTAGCACTAGAAACCTGATACAGCGTGGTTTACTAGAAAGGCAGTAACACAATTTGCTCCAATATCAATTCTGAGAAAGATGAGGATTTGTAATAACCTCTAAATTGCAGCTGTGGTCATTATGACTAACTTAAATGCGACAGAGCAAATTGTTCATCCTTTCCTTTAAAAACTCCTCAGTGGGCGCTCTGCAGTCTGCTCCAGTGGGTGGAACAGCAACTTGGTAGAGAGCAGGAAACAAATATTGGCTTAGTGTAAGAAAAAAAATTTTCTAACAATTTGAACTCAAAAGTTTCAAAAATGGGGCAGACTTCTTTTAAAAATAAACTTCCCGTTGCTGGAAGCCGTTAGGTAAAAATTGTATGAACACCTATGAAGATCCTAGGATCATATTCTTGTACTGAACATAATGTATGACTGCTATGGTGCCTTCTGTTCTAAAGGATCTGTATCAAGTGAAGAAGTGCAGAAGAAACCCATCTAGGCCAAATATTCAATATGGTTGGAAGCCATTTACATGGCCTCCAAGAAAGGTTGAAATATTTTCTAACTTCGAAGGTGAAAAAGTTTTTTATATTTATCATTTTGAGCTCCCCAAGATGCTCACGACATTTTTCCTTACTTGATGCTAAAACGAAAGGTGACTGGGAGTTCCAGAGTTCTTTCGTACTGGTATTATGAAGTACCTGTACATTCACTCACTCATTAGAGTCAACAGGCATGTATAAAATTTAATAGAATTTTTCTTGTTGACAAAGTTTTAACAAGGAAAATGGACATATTTATATCTTTATTTTGTCGGTAATTTTTCTCCAGAGCATGCAGACTGAAGATTGCTTATCAGACAAGTTGGCCGCCACCTAACCTAGGCCTTGACTCCCCTGTGAGTAGATATCATGTGTAGTCACAGTGCACGTGTATCTTGAAAGTTGGCCAACAGACAGAATTCCAATGGTTAAACAGATGGCTTTTATAATAATAGCACTTCCCTTTAAATAATGCATGGTCAGTGGAGTAATTCAATAATCTTCAGGGAAAACTTGCTAGTTATAAGGGTTTGGGGCAGAATTGTGGCATCATCAAAACCACACCAATTAGCTGAGTCTCACATTTTGTCCTGGTTGCAAGCTACTCGCTTCCCTCCATCCCTGAAGGAAAAGGGGTAATGCTGAGATTTAACTGGGGTCATCACTTCTAGAACAGAGAGCTCCGGTCATTCATCACTGGTAAAAATGGTGCCACCTCTACTGGTGCTCCCTAGGGTTGTGTTTCTTACAGTTTTCTGGGAATGCAATTGGAACATTGTACTCAACTTTTATTCTCC